GATCCTCCTGCTTGGCGGCTTCGGGATCTTCCTCTTCGGAGGCTTCCGGCTCATCCTTGGAGACTTCGTCCTTGGCGGCTTCTGGTGCTTCCTTGGACGCATCCAATGCTTCGGATAAGGCTTCAAGCGCCTCGTCCGTGGCTTGGTCGTCGTCGGTGAGCAGAGTCGTGTTGTTGGGTTCGGGTGCGCTGTCGTCGATCTCGGACTTGGAATCAACCGGCGTAGCGATGACATCAACAACTGGAACGACGGGAGTCGACTCGTCGGCTGCATCAACCACGTCTTCGTCCTCGGCGGCGTCGACGATGGCGGTCTCGTTGCTCTGGGATTCAGCCTCGACGATGGCGATGGACGCATTCGAAGCGTCGATGACCGCGACATGGGCATCCACAATCTCGCTCGAGACGTCCGTGACCACCTCAACGACGGCTGCCACCACGTCGACGACTTGAACGAGCTCCGAGGCGTTTGCCGCGGGCTCGGCGGTCGCAGTCGCATTGACGTCGTCACGCGCATCCACGCGCACAACCTCATCGGCTTCAACCGACTTGGATTCGGATGTGTCTTCTTTCACGCCAAGCTCGATCGCTTCATCGTCCAGCATCGCCACGTCGACAACGGCTTGCTTGACCTCGTCGACCGTGTCTTGCTTGACCTCATGGACAACACTGTCCTTGACCTCATGGACAACACCGTCCTTGACCTCGTCGACCGTGTCTCCCTTGACCTCGTCGACCGTGTCTCCCTTGATGTCGACAACCGTGTCTTCCTTGATGTCCGCATCACGTTGTTCCCCTTCGACGACAACTTCCTTGGCTTCAACGACGACGTCGTCGGACGCTGTGACAACTTGTTCCTTGACATCGACGACGGGTGCGTCGACTTGGGTTGACGTAGCTGCGTCGTCGTTGCCGTCACTGTCTTTATGAACGTCGCCGAGTGTGTCGTTGACACCGCTCGTGGCAGCAACAACGCCCGCGTCTGTCGGTGCTTCGACCTTGACGTCGTGACCGGTCGAAGCTGTGGCGTTGACCGAAGCAGCAAATTCCGGAACGGGCGCGTCGACGGCGCCATCCGTGTTGACGTGGACCGTGACCACGTCGTCGACAATGACCATTGTGGTGGTCTCGGGCACTTTCGTCTCGGTTTCCTGGATCGCCTCGATTTCCTGGATCGCCTCGATTTCCTGGATCGTCTCGATTTCCTGGATCGTGTCGATTTCCTGGATCGTCTCGACCAGAACATGCATCTCGCGCGTCTCTCGAGCGACAAACGAGTAGAGGTCGAGGCCATAGAAGTGCTGGGCGGCGCCAACACCGAGCGTGACGAGCCAGATGCCAATCATCGCAAAAAACGCAGTCTTCCACGCCGACGATGCGGCCTTTACGGGCGGAAGCGACCGCGGCTTCTCGACGGGCTTCTCGACGGGCTTCTCAGGCTGCTTGGGCTGGACGGGCGACGTCGGCTGGGTCGGCGGCGCCAGCGCTTGCATCATGTTTTGCTGCAGCGCGGCAAACTCGGACATGGCGGCCTTGACCGAGGTTTCAATCTTTTGGGCGTCGACCGAGTGGCGGCGCTGCGGCGACCCTTTGCTCACCTCGATGCTCTTGAGCTGCTCCATCATGAGGAACTGCGTCTGCTCCGTCTGCTGCATGAACGACTGGAGCGAGCTGCGGAGGTGCGTCATGTCGTTCGAGAGAGGCGCGGCGCTTTTCTGGGACGCGCGCCGGAGCTCCATTTGCAGCTGGTCGCGCTCGGCGAGGATGCGGCTCGTCTCGTTCATCTGCTTCTTGATCATCTCGTTCTTGATCGCGTGTTCGTTTGGAGCTCCTTGATGACGTCCTCCATCGTGCGGAGCTGCGACTGGACCTTGTGCACGAGAGACGCCATCTCGATCTCTTGCTTGCGCATCTTCATGCGCGAGAGCGAGTCTGAGACCTCGCTGCTCACGGCGCGCAGCTGCGACGCGCTGCCCGCTCGCGAGACGGACGAGAACGCCCTGCCAATGTTCTCGGCCGTCAAGAGCGGCGTGTCCCAGCCAGCATCGAGCGCGCTCTCCGAGTGGCACTCGCCGTGTGTCTCTTCGTCGAGTGCGACCGTGGAGCCGGTCGACGACCGAGCGGCGCCGCCTCGGTGCGGCGGCCGGCCGCTGTCGGAGGCGACCGCCATGGGGCTGGCCGCACAGGCGCCGACGCTGCAACGG